ACGCACACACATACATACATTCATACATACTTGCATACATACATACATGCATGCACGCATGCATGCATGCATACATACACACTCGAATGTGTGCTGCCCATGTGCATGACGTGCATATTTGTTCACATGTATACATATATATATATATATATATATATGCAGCATGAGCAAATCTATGAATTGAAAATAGGTGTGTAGCTAAAACCACTTGAGAACGACACTGAAGTGAGTAGCAATTCAGAAACCAGGTAACACGTGAGAATTGACCGAATCAGCAGTCCCCCCCAACTAAGAGTTCTTCTCACAAGGATCCTATATACCATTGAGGATCAATATTTGGGTGGCGCATTTTCTGAACCTTCTAGAATCTAGCATATGGGGCATCACGCTGACGATCGCAAGTTCTTTTATCGCTCGTATAAGGCACATGAACAAATGAACAAACCCTAAACTCTAAACCACGGAACATATCAAGAAAGGAGCAAATACATACAAGCACATATTATAAATACAACCTATACCAGTCCTGAAGCCCTTGTGAAGCAAAAAATAACCTCCTTTGCCCGGCCTAGCGCACGCTGCGAAGCGTAATCCTTTGTCGGCCGGCTTATCTTTTGTTTTGTGGGAGCCAGGATTAGGGGGACCCTTGGGGATATAGACCCTCTGAATAAGGTCCCCTTTAAGAGAGCCAAAAGTAGGGTTCAGAAGGGGTTCCCTTTACCCTTAAAGGGGTACCCCTAGTAATACTACCTGACTACCTAGTTTGAACAGGGAAACCCTAAACCCCCAACCCTACAACACCCTAAATCGTATTGCTAAGGCCAGGGGAGCCTTCTGTACGGCTAAACCCTAAACCCTAAACCCTCAACCCTTAAACCCTAAACCCCTAAACCCTAAACCCCTAAACCCTAAAACCCTAAACCCTAAACTCTGAAGGCCTATATGGGAGTTTCCGAAAATTAGGGTACCTTATTTTGGGGGTCCTTATAATAGGGATCCTAGTATTTAGGGTACTATATTAGGGGCCCCTATTTTCTGAAACCCCCATATGTCGGGCTTATAGGCCGGAAACTGAGCCCCCCAAGCCGACCTGAAGGTCCTTAGGCTTTTAGGGTTTAGGGTTTAGGGTTTAGGGTTTAGGGTTTAGGGTAACTTTAAGGCTCTTTATTGCCTTGCTAAAATTAT